GCGCTTCACACTTTCCCCAGACGACCCCACGACACAATCCTACCAAAAGTTTACATGATATCTACAACTGTTATGAATAGAGGTCTCGATTCAACTTTCCAATTTCCGTTTCTTCACATGTGTGTTAGCCTGCTGGGAATGGGACTAAAGACTTCTGATATGCCAGTGTACGGCAATACATATGATGTAAGCCTCGGCGAATAGTACGGAAGTCCTAGCAGCCAGAAATTCAGAGTGAAGAGGGTGAACGACCTCACAATGAATGCGATCAGCAAATTGCTTGACTGCTTTAATGAGTAGCTTGATTATTATATTAGCTTAAAAAACATAGGGAACATCGGCAGCTAAAGCGAGCTGATGCCGCTCTTCAGGTACCAGCTCTGTATCCAGATAGACGGTGTGACCATGGGCTGACCACTTACCCAGTTTCTCGGAAATGTTCCTATTGGCAAGATCGAGAAAACGAGTCTAGAGGACAGCATGGATGACCTTGCATTTTACTGTCGATGGGTAAATAACAGCCGTTGTCTGACAGACCGTAATACTGGCACTGACGCGCTGGTCGCGAAGTTTAACAGCGCGCATCCAGCGTTTATTGTTCCTGCAGAAGCTGAGGAAGAATCCGAAATTACTTTTTGCGGTGTTTTCAACGAAGGAAATAGGGCGAACCAATCCAGCGTAGGATGTTCCGAAGGAAAACCCGGACGGGACAATAAATCCACTATCACAGATTTGCTCCCCATTACAGAAGAACAAATTTAGTCCATGCATAAGCACTTAAAGTGCAAGTAATCTGCTTCCCGTGGCTGTCGAAAGAGAACTGCTGCACAATTTTAGGAAGCGCATACCTAGAAACGTGAACACGCAGACATACTGACGAACGCACCAAAATAGCCTGCTACTTTAAGTGCAGACAAAAGAGGCGCGTGTACAGGACCGTTATTGTTGGGTGATGCGACAAGGTAGCTGATAAGACGACGTCAAAAGACAATGATCACAAGCACTTTCCCTGCGACGAACTTCCGTACATTCTTCACAAACGTTCCCTTCTGACGATTGGGAGATTAGGAACGTCTCCTGTTTAAGACCACACCAATGTGCATTTAGTTTTTGATTTGCTCCTGTAGAGCAGGATACATTAACCGAACAATGAGACGCCAGGAGAAGAAATTATATGAACTCGTACTCGCTTGAGTAAGTTAAAAAAAGATGGACTTTGCGTTCCTTCCTCGCACACCTAATTAACACGTCTTACTGTCTTAATTCCAACGAAACCGTTTAGGTTGTCTACTTGACAACAACCAGATTTTCTAAGGATCTCCAGGAACAGATTAAAGCAGTTGTTGAGGCGGTGGCTATATAGCTGGCGAATCCAGTATTGTGCTGCCAGAAAATTATGAATAATAGACTCTCTACTCCGTAGCCGATGTCGACGCGGGGAGGGCGAATTGTTTACTCCTTCTCTAACTCTACGGCCGCGAGATGCCTAGAAATAATTCATTCTGATTTTAACGCTCTTTCTGCGTGGAGTTCGACATGGCAGATGGAGTTCCCACCTTCTAAGTGATTTTGGCCTAAAAGGCTGCCACAATATGTTATTTTTCAAGATTGCCGCATGACTGAATTTTCTAACCTCAAGGAACTACGTTTAAACTACACAAATCAATTAGATCTTTCGCCTCACGCCGACAGAATAACGGCAAAAGCCGCACAGATTGGTGGCTTTATTTCTTATCTTTTCTATCTTCCTAAAATGAAATTTAGACTTTATTGTATAGTTGTGCTTCTCATTTTAGAAAACTGCTGCCCATTCTTCGGTCTGATAAACGAAGTTAGCCATTCAAGAAATTGAAAGAGTCCAAAAATTTTTAGCAAGAAAACTGCCTTATCCGACGTTTTGCAGTTCTTCTTACACAAATAGATACCAATTAACGAGACTCAGATTTATTTGGGTTAGCAGATTTTAAGTAGGCTTTTGTCTCATTTTTCGCCTTAATAATAGCACAAACATTTCCAAGCTTTCCGTCTTTACCCCTGTCAGCCGTCCCCACAACCTAAGAAACTCGACAATTGTTATACCTCCTCCTGCATCTTCCTCATTTAAACGCTCTGTGTCTTTTGCTTCAAAGTATATCTTCCTTTGAAATAATTTACCAATTGAAATAAGATCGTTAACTTGACTGTCTGCTTTCAAGCGAAGATTTCACATTTATCTATTAATCTTTTATTCTCCTCATCTTTTCAGAGCAGCTTTCTCCATCACTCCGAGAACGGACCATCGAGAATTCAGGAAATCCTCTTGAAACTATTTTCACTGCCTCGTGTCCCCAAGAAAACTAAATGTCTCCATTAACCGCCGCTCAATCAACGTAGCCAGGTGGACGTACTCAATGCAAAGTGCTACCGTTTCGTTAGCTACAAACTATCATCAGAATCCCTACACCTGTTTCTACTCATCTACTTTGTCTTATATTCCTTAACCTTTTTTTCTCTTAAACGCCTTTTGAAAATGGAGGTCCGTTAAACTCTGCCTCCACTACAACTGTAAGAGTTTTTAATTGCCCCTATTTTTAAGTTTTTTTAAGTTTACAACTAACTGCAAAACATTACCAAAGTACAATTTCTGCTGACATTCTTACGAATGTTTACGTCCATCTGCGCACATTGTCTTATTCGTTTTTGAATTTTTTTTATGAAACTAATTTTGTATCGGGAGGGCCTTTCTGGCGCTAACAAATATTATTCCGAATTGCATGTTGGCCCCACGCCCTGGTAAGGGTGGTTTGCTTAACGCCCGCGAAACTGATTTTCACTCCACGTTCTCGAACTATGAACGTGTCTCGCAGCCATTCCTGTTTTTTCCCTTAACCTTAGCTAAGCAGCTGACAATGTAGAGGAGTGTGAGATTACCCTGGGCCTTTGGAAGGTCAGTTATTATTTCAGTAGATTTCAGCTATCCAATGCCATGACATTAGATTGGAACTTCACAAATAAAATGAGGTTTACCGAGACCAGAATTAATCAAAGCCTCCGGTGCATATATTTATATTGACTTAAAGGTCCTGCCGTGTACAGGAGCACATTCCGAAATAAAAATAACAAAAAACAAGAAGACAGAGTCCTAGGGAAGGTGCGCCTCGAAATACTCCAAGGATGCTATTAGAGGCGCCCGCAGGAGTGTTTTATTTTGAGGAGGCCCACGACGATGTATATCTGGTATGTCGTACATTTTGATGCCTAGCTTCGTGGCTGTTAGACCCACATAGACATCCTCCATGGAAAATGGTTAAGTGAGGGCTGTCGCAATGGACAGTGAGGCCACAGCCTCAGCGCCAATGAAGTAGCATGGACCGGCGGCGTAATCTGGATACAGGTTGAAGGGCATTTCACTTCGCGTTACAGCCCACTTGTCTCCTGCTGCCCGTATAACCTTTGGCCGCTTGTGTATGTGGCCGAAGATGGAGCGCTGCAACTGATCCCGATGTCCCTTTTCTTCGTCAAAGCGGTGGAAGTAGTGGAGGAGAGCGGTCAAATTGAGGCCATGGTCGTCATCCATGAAGACGAACAGCGGAGTGGCGGCGCCACAGGCTACGTGAGCAAATCGGAGATTCAGCAGTGCCTTCAGGGTCACATTGTAGTAGCTGTCCGTGAAGTTGGTCAAAATGATATCGTCAAAGCGGGTCGCCTCATTACTGAGGGCGTCCAGAAGTCTGGACCGGTTGACAGTGTCAGGTGGGAGACCTAAACTGAAGAGGAGGCCCACGGAGTTGGCAAATTTGGACGTCTGCTTGCTGATGAGACGGTGCAATCGTTCGGCGTGCAGCGTTGGTTGGCGAGCTCTTGACAATAATGATAAGTTCGTACCGCGCGCGGCCATGAGTTTCATTTATACGGCAAAAAGACTGGCTAGTGCGTATCAGCACAAGTTTGGGATTATTGATAGGAGCCTGAAAAGGATTTCGAAATTCATTGCAACACAGCCTACTGCAAATAAATAAGTAGTGATATAAATATATTCAAAAAACAATCTTGTTCATTAAGGCGTTTTCATGATGGCTAGGAGATGATCGATAAAAATAATTACGGCGCACAACCGCAGAAATATTGACGAACACACCAAAATGGCCTGCCATTTTACTGCAGAAAAAAGGGGCGTGTGCACAAATCTGTTATTCTTGGGTGATGCGACAAGTTAGCTGATAAGACGACGTCTGAAGACTGCGACCACAAGCACTTTCTCCGTGGCGAACTTCCGGAAAAAGAAAGTGCGATCTTTAATGTCGATTTTTAAGTTCTTCTTATTAGCGAAATTGCTTGTTTGTGCGACATTCCCAGCCCTTACACTTCATTTAGTCTGACGACGAACGAGTGATACCTGTTCGAAAATTCTTGAGTACAACTCGATTTTCCGAAGATCTTCTTTCTTTTCAAACATCAGTTTGTCATTTGCGCAAAGAATCGTGCACAAATATACCGAGCATCACCCTAATCAAGTTACAATGTTTTCAATGCTGCAAGACTAACCATCAAGTGAAAAACGCTTCAAATAAAACAGAATTCAAGGGAATTTTTACACGATCAACGTTGCCTGAGCACAATATAGTGGAAGAGTAAAATTGAGCACGACACATTTAACTCTTAGCAAATAGCTATGCTTGTCAAAGTATACTTTTTACCGCCAATCTGTTTACACAACAGATCAGAAGCGGCATAACGGTATGCCTTCAAAATATTTTGTAATGTCTGCCAGAATAGGCTTCTACCAGCATCGTGTTATATACGAATAGAGTACAAACATGCATTTATAATTCGCTGGGGATTTATCTCCTTGTGGTCTAATCATGGTCGAATGTCAACTCCAATAACTTGCAGAGTAATATGAGCATTGATCAAGTGTATTGATGTGAATTATTATAATTGCGAAAGTACAGTATGGCAAGTCCTGCGAGCAACTTTCATGATGAAATTTAACTTGGTAGTTGAGCATGTATTTGGACAGTTTGTTTTGATCCACTGAGTGGATCTAATAATTTGAAAGCCTTACGTTTGGAGAGCTGCCCTCTTAGTTAAACTTATTGAGCGAAATAGGCACCAATTTTGGCTAAATCATGAGTAATTTTATATTAAAGAAATTTCCTATGCTACAAGGTACGACAGAACAAAAATTCTTATTAACATGCATTGTTATATCGAAGGATTCCAGAATAAGTTATAGGTTGACAAATTATCGCTTCCAGAAGTGGAAAATTTTTGTTCAAATTTGCTTCAATGGAAGTTAAGCCAAATCCAAGAAATCACATTCATTTGCGGAAACACGGTAGATATATATTTTAAAAATAATGTTTAAGCAAAGTGTCCGCATATGCTACCGCAAAGGGAATATAAAGAATACGTTCCGCTTAAGCCTTATTTAGAAACGGAACAGACAGAAGAATAGTAAGTATTTCAAAAATGGTGGTGTATGTGGCCTGTTTTTTGCATTCGCAAGCCGACAACGGATCGTGGAATTAATCTACTTATGCGGAAAATAATCCGCTATAAGGAGAAAAGTGTGTTCTTTCATTTCCATTTAAAATGAATCGTTTCTTTTCAGATAAATTAAAGAAATTTACGGAAGTCTCCCTGTGGCATAACCTTGAAAGTAGTTCATATCGACAGAAATTCGTCAGATAAATGTCCAACTTAAACACTTTTCAAAGAGGTAACCTATTATGGAAAGATTTTTTTATTAATCTTAGGAATAACAATATGCGTGGTATCTTACAGACATTTTGTATGTTCAACAATGTGTTTTGCTGTTTTGAAGCATTCCTAAAAATGACCTACCTGGCCATCTTCATAAGAACTAATACCCCAAAGTTTAAAGCAACGTTTCCCAGGTGAAAATTGAAGAAAGCTATAACAGCAAGAGTTATTGGATTCATGCCCTTGCGAGAGAGCTCTTCAGTTGCTGCTTCTGATTGCGTAACATGAATCACGAAAGAGAAAATACTAATTGAATTCATAAAAAAAATAGATACAAACACAAGGTAAAAAAATGCCCAAGTGGCTAATCAATAACATAAGAAGTAAAAATGCTATGGTCAGCAAAATACGGAAAAAAAAGTCTGCGGTAAAATGTTTACAAATGTTAACATAGGTCGGGTTTAAACCGTTGTATGTAGGCTGCCTCCAGGTAGTGTAAGGTGCGAGTTGTTCCTGCTCGAACAAGTAATCGGAAATAAGTTTTGGGGTCAACAGAGGCAGCAACCGAAGAGCTCTCTCGAAATGCCATGGATCTTGCTGTTACCTTGTTGTTGTTCCTATCATTAAAATACGCCAAAGCTCGTTTTTTTCGGTAAATGCTCTTCAATTATATCTTATTTTAAAGCTTTTGATTTAAACTTCGAACAGAAGCACAATTCATTTACTTATCAATGAAGACACTAAAAACGAGCAAAATGACAACAGACTTTATTTCGCGCTATTCAATAAATAGTTATACACTAATGCTAATATGTGCAAAGTAGTTTGACTAAAGGAAATATCTTTTTATACAAAGAAAGTGGTTGCTTTAAGTTTTATACTCAACAACATATTTCGACTTATTGTTCTAAGTTACGTCTCCAGAGCCTGGTGATTATCGAGAAAATTTTATTTTTCTGAACAAACACTTAATTCTTCTTATAAATATTTTAAGTACTTAATATGCCTAATGCTGCTCATTTTTAGTTCTAAGTTTTCGTAAATCCGTTCTTCCCGGTATAAGAGCAATCATCAAACATTTACAAATTTATGCAGCAGCACTCGTCATACTGTATTTTTCGATGAAGTAAGCGAATGTATTTCCTGAGACACGGGACAAACTAACATATGGGATAAATTGAGCTCGCTGGAGGGTGAACCACCAAAACCGGCTGATTATTGGTTAAGGCTGTGCACTCTGATAAATCATGCATCCTTCGGCTTGCTAAGTTCGATTTCTTGTAAAAAAATGTATACAGAAAACAAGGATACACATGCCGAAAACGGCAGCAGCTGACTTGCACTGGCGTAAAACGGCTGTTGATTTTTACGTCGAGTCTGACATATGACATATCGGTATGCGTTTAAAATATTTTTTCATGTCTACCAAAAAAGGCTTCTACCAGCATCACGTTAAAACGAAGAGAGTAAAAACATGCCTTTTAAATTCGCTGGGCAATTATATCTATGTGGTCTGATCATGGTCGGTTGTCAACTCCAATAACTTGCAGAATAATATGAGCATTCATCAGGTGCATTGATGTAAATTACTAATATTGCGGAGGTATGTTTCTATGAATTAAGCAAATGTATTTTCTAAGACACGAGACACACTAACCTGTGGGATAAAGTTGAGTTCGTCGGAGTTTGAACCCCCAAAACCGTCTGATAATTGGTTGAGGTTGTGCACTCTGATGAATCATGTATCAATCGGCTTGCTGAGTTCGATTTCGGATAGAAAATATCCAGGAAACACACTGACGCAATTGGCAGCTGCAAACTTGTACTCGCATAAAAGTGATCTTGATTTTTTCGCTAAGTCTGACATTTTAAATGGTTCCTGTGGATTACCTAAATTCTGACGCCGACGAACTGGCGAATGACCGTCAAAAAGTTACTATATAAATCTTCTTTCTTTTCTGAAAGAAGGTTTTGTTTCAAATATGCATATATATGTATCATTGTAGTATCAAAATCTAATGCAGTATAGGAAAAGTACATACCGTTGAAATTGGACTGTTGCTCCTAACTGCTTGCAGAATGATCGGAAGTGGTACATCCAGTGGGTAAATTGAGTAAATAGCTGGGCGACGGGCCTTACTGAACCTGTTGACGTTCCT